AGCCTTCAAGTTGTACACTTGATCTCCTTCATGCCATCAGGTGGTGTTGCTGGTCAGCTGACCTGATTGTGTCGGTCTTCATTGCTGACAAGAGGGAATGGGGCGGACCGGACGGTGTATCATGGTAGCGCTAGGTAATCGGAGTTCATTATCCTTGACACACGGCTGAGCTGTGCGTCTGTACACTGAGACTGTGCATTTGTGAGCGAAAAGCTCATGCACTCAACTGCTGCAACGGCTGCGCAGCTCTTCGTCAGAGCATTCGTGTGGTCAGCAAGCGCTGCCAATCAATGGGAGAGCGTGTGGAGTGAAAGGTACTTAAGGGGTGCGGTTTGAGGAGCGATCAACTCTTCGGCCGACTCAATAGACTCTCAATATCAACACGACAGACACAACAGGATCTTGAAGCACCACTAAGCCTTGCATGACCTTTTTCGCAGACATGTCGGTTGCCAACGCCGCTATTTCCACCACCAAGGCGGTCTTCTGTACTCAGAAGGGTGGTCCGGAGATCAGGGATTTGGGACAAGCTGCTGCTCAAGCTCCAGATCTCGGAGAAGATGAGGTGCTGATCCGAAATGTGGCGGTCGCATCGAATCCCAAGGGTGAGCGAGGCGCTGGCGGGCGATGCCATGCGATGCCATCGAGGACAAGCGCGAGATCTTGTGGCTCATGATCGCCTTTCTTGTGGCGCATCTCCTTTGCAGACTGGAAAGTTGCCCGCTGGGGAATGTTTGAAGGTATCGAGGGCAACGACGTGGCAGGCACGATCGAAGCGGTGGGCAGCAAAGTGACACGGTTCTCAGAGGGTGATCGTGTCGCCGCTTTCACCAGAGTGGCCACGCACGACAAGTACGGAGCTTATCAGGCCCGAAGCGTCGCTCCTGCCTGCACCACTTGGCACATTCAGACAAACACGACGTACGAGCAGGCTGCTGCCCTCAATCTGGCCTTTCTCACAGCCGCTGTAGGCCTGTACGTGACCCTCGGCGTGAGTATGGTGTCACTGCTCTAACGTACCGGGTGTGCCTAATTCTACTCGGTCCAATCGCCACTTTGGCTCATCTACCGCCCTTCACCCTTTGGCTTTCCCTCGCAATAGCTTCCTGAACCGCAGGACAACTCGCAGCCGCTTCCAGGCGCACAGAAGCAAGGGGTGATTGTGTGGGGCGCAGGCTCCACGCTCGGCGACTACGCCGTCCAACTAGCCAAAAAGAGTGGCCTGCGCGTCATCGCCGTAGCGGGCAACAGCGCCTTCTATGTCCAATCGCTCGGGGCTGATGCCGTCGTCGATTACCGTTCAAAGGATGCCGTGGACCAGATCGTCAAGGCTGCCAGATCGCTTGATGGCGTTTCGTGGAAGTGCGTGCTCGATGCGGTCTCCGAAAATGGCTCGATCGAGAGCTCAGTAGAGGTCATGGACCAATTGGGCGGTGGTAAGGTCATCACCACCTTGGCTTCCCAGATGGAAGAGAAGCGCAAAGATACCGTCGAAAGATACTCGGTCGGGTCGGCTTACGGTGCCAATGGGCACAAGTCGGAGAGGTGGAACCAGTTAGTGGCCGAGTGGGTGGATCGAGGTACTTTCAAGGTTCACCCCATCAAGGTGATGCCAAACGGACTGGCGAGCGTGCCGGAAGGTATCAAGCTGCTCGAAGAGGGCAAGGTCAGCGGACACAAGCTTGTTTGTGAGTCAATTCGACTCGAATGTCAATCGCTTCACCAG